GTACTGATTCCTTCTGATAACTTGTCTAAAGTATGCAAGACAGACTCTCACTATCCTTATTTCTAGGCAGTATCCTGACTGTACTTCTTCCAGTATTCAGTGTTCTCTTAGCTTTTCCATATCTGATTTATATATATATATATATATATATATGTTTAGTTCATATATAAGGAGCTCTGGTAGCGTAGTGGTTACGAATCGGGCTGCGAACCTTAAGGTCAGCGGTTCGAAACTACCAGCCGCTCCACGGGAGAAAGATGAGGCTTTCTACTCCTGTAAAGATTTACACCCTCGGAAACCCTGTACAGGGTCGCTATGGGTCAGAACCGACTCGAGGGCACTTAACAACAACAACAACAGTTCATATAAATAAATAAATGTGTATATATATATATATATATATAAATACTTTATCTTATGACCTATAGTTTATCTTATGACAATCTCCACTTGAGATTGATATTCTAAGTTTCCACTGAAATGTAGTATTAATTTTGTCACTCTCTTCACTACCATCTTCTGGCATTCTACCCCTTGCTTCCTGTGGTCAAATTTCACTGGACTTCATTCAGTTCTTCTAATGCCTTAGGTCCTTTTCTAATCATATGTATCACTCACTGTGCCTTGAAACCAGATATTTTCTCCACTTTTGTTTCTACCCCTACCCCACTTCTCACTTGTACCTGTTGTAGTTGTGTGCCCTTGATTTAATTCTGATCCCTAAATAGTCCTACAACATAGAGTAGAACAGTTTCCCCATAGGTTTACAGGAGCAAACCGATTTGCAGCTGAGTGCTTGACCATTGCACTGACAGGCTTCCCTGACCAACAGTCTTAGCCTAAGCGCATCATTTTCTCAATGAACCTCTGCTCACAGTCCTGCCACCCACTACCTTACCACCTGATACATATTCCGATAACACTCCACATTTATGTCTTTGAAGCACTCGCCATATGTCTGTCTTGTTAGTTATTAGCATAGTGGGTTACGTGTTCGGCTGCTAATCACAGTATCAGCAGCTCAAATCCACTAGCTGCTCCTCAGGAAAAAGATGAGGCGATCTGTTCCCATAATGATTTATAGCCTTTGAAATCCTATTCAGGGTCCATATGAGTCAGAACCCACTCATTGACACACAACAATTGCAGTTATAACAGAAATACTGCAGATGAGTAGATTTAATAAACAGAAATCTGTTTCGTATGATTTAGGAGGTTAGCAATTCATTAGACGCCAAATTCAGCGTGTCGGCTGTAGGAGATCACTCTTGTTCTGTCAGCTCTGGGGCAGTTCTTGACCCTTCCTTCAGTTTCTGCTCCTGGACATTTCCTCATGTTGACCTGGCAACTCTCCTCTTCTTCCAGATCAGCTGGCTGGTTTACATTTATTCTCGTTATATTTCAGTAGAAATTGTCTCAAGATACTCCCTATACTAATCTCACACAATTAACATATGATGCTATAATGGAAATACCACAAATGGGTAGCTTTCACAAACAGAAAATCATTTCCTACAGTTTAAGAGACTAGAAGTTCGGATTCATGTTGCCGCTTCTAGCTTGGGGAAGCACCTCTTTCTCTGTTGGTCTTCGACAAAGTTCTTTTTGTCTAGTTTCTGCTCCTGGGTAATCTACATGTGACTTGACATATCTCTTCCCCTGTCTCTGCTTGCTTGTTGTGGTGTTGTTTTCAAGTGCCGTCAAGTTGGTTCCAACACATAGCAACCTTGGATAGGGTTTCCGAGGATCGATTGATGGGTTAGAACCTCCAACCTTGCAGTTCAAACTGACCTTGGTGTCTAACACATTCTCCTACAGCACCACATCAGCACCATGCCACTTGAGATGGCCACAAACACATCCTACACTAATCTTATTTTATGAACATAACAAAGGAAACCTCTCTCAAGTGGATTATAAACACAGGCCTGGATGTTAGGATTTACAGCCTGTATTTTGGGGAACATACTCTGGTAGCATTACGAGTTGGGCTGCTAACCTCAAGGTCAGCAGCTCAAAATTACCAACCATCTGTGGGAGAAAGGTGAGGCTTTCTGCTCCCATAAAGATTTGCAGCCTCAGAAACCCTATGCAGGGTTGCTATGAGTCAGAACCGACTCCACGGCATATAACCACCACCACTCCAATTTGTTACACAATATATAAATTTAAGAATAAATCTTTTTATATGCTTAATGACTTTCTGAACTCCTAAACCATAACCTCCATAAGGCTAGGCTAATGGTGAATTCTCTAGTGCTTGTTAACATGGCTTCTTGAACATGGTTGGCACTCAAGAAATATTTCTTGCTCAAATTAGTGAAAACTCCCAATAATTTTACCTCCAGCGAAAGTAAAGCGCTTTGGTGGCTGGCAGTGTATGTAGGCCATGTGATTCTGTTTGGCCTGGAAAACCATCCATAACCCTAACGAGGTCAAGGTGGCTCTTCAGAGTTTGAGTACTATGGAGTTCAACTTTAACGCATGTGTTTAGGCTTAAGAATCTAGTTAGGTGTGAGTGGGAAGCAAACTTGAAGTTTACATCAAAAGATCTGTTTTCATGCTTTTAGTGGTTGTGTTCTAAGTATGGGGCTTGTTAGGATAATTGGCATGTTGCTTACATAGGCACTGACTCAGCAGAAAATTCTGCTCTTGAAAACACAGTTCAAGAACTGCAGAGGATCAGTCAATAGGATCACTGTCAAGTAAAACAAAGGGCCTATGTGAGTGATAATCATTTTAAGAATTTTCTCCAGTTAAGATTTTGCACTTTGGTGTTTTGCTATTTTTAAAGTTTAGATGTATTGTAAATTATGTTTTAATCATTAAGTAGTTAATTCATTTCCTTCTAAGATTTAGTATGATTTCATTTATAAAATCAAAGTTTTAAATAATACATTTTCAAATGCAAGGTAACTTCCTGTTTCCTTCCTATTATTGCATTTCCATGTGTACGATCAGCACCTGACTGCTAACCAAAAGGTCAGCAGTTCAAATCAAGCAGCCACTCCTTGGAAACCCTAGACGGGGTGGCTGTGAGTCGGAATCAACTCAGTGGCACTTAACTGTGAGAACATATTCAGAAAATGTTTTGTTGTTGTTAAGTACCATGTAGTTAGTTCCCACTCATAAATATCCGGTGTCCACCAGAACTAAGCACTGCCAGGTTCTGCCATCCTCATCCTGCCCCTTTTTAAAATTCAGAACTTTAATATATAGAAGTATTTATAATAAAATGCTTCATCATTCAACTATATATAAGTACAAGAAAATTAGACAAGATAGACTTAGTTTGATGGTAAGTCAACTGGAACTAGGCTCCGGTTCATACATGCACTGATTTATTCCAAAAAACAAAACTAAACAACCATGCCTGTGTGATCAGTGGATACCTGCAGACAGGTTCTCTCAGTATTACACTTGTGTTAGAATCATTAGGATGCCTCCAAAAAACAGGGTCCGATCAAAACAGTGACTTCCAAGGGTATCTTATGTACCAGTTAAATTTAAGGTGCAGAGGTCAGCTCAGAAGGTGATGACTATTGTTTTTTTTGAAATTCAAAAGAGTAATCTTGAAAGATTGTCACTGGGACCTATTACAAAGAATTTTAGGAAAATTGAAAACTGCAATGGTGAAAGAAAAAAAAAAGACCAGAAAAATGCACTAAGGATTTTTTTATTTTTTTTGTTTTTCCCCACCACGACAATGTTCATTCTTCCAGGGCTCTCCTAAGAGAATTTCCTTGAGAAACCTTACCCCATCTCCCTACATAACTGACCTTGCTCCTTCAGATTTCTTTTTGCTCCTCAACCTCAAAGTACTTTGAAAAGGAATATAATTTGAGTCCCTCACAGATGTCCAAACTGCTGTTTTGACGTATAAATCAGAGTTCAGAGTTCTTTAGGAAAAGGCAAGAGAGGTGAAAACAAACCATCTTCAGAAATGTACAGACATAGTTGGAAGATATATGGTAAAGCCAGAGCTTCACATTTTGAGATTTGTTTAGTAAAGTTTTCTATGACTTTGTAGCAGTACTTTTTTGACTTACCCTCATATATATGTTTCTAACTTGTATTGTGTTTAAAAATTGTTGAAAAATGAGACTGAAGACATTTTTCATTATTCTCTTTCCCCTTTTGAAAAATATTCCCAGGTTTATTTGGATTAAACAGTCTAAGAAAAATTTGGTGTTGTTAAGTGTCATCGAGTCAGTTTCAACCCATAGTGATCCCTGTGTGGGGTTTCCTAGGAGCAGCTGATGGGATTGAACTCCCAATCTTGTGGTTCACAGTCCAGTCCAGATCCTACAGCATCACACTAGGAGTCTAAGTGAAACTAGCACTTGTGAAAGTTTCATGGGTTTCCATGGGGAAAAATCATTGTATATTCTTCCCCCCTATTTTCTAATGGCTTTAAGGAGACCTGGTGGTGTTGTAGGATAAGCATTGAACTGCTAACTGTAAGGCCGGCAGTTCAAACCCACCAGCTGCTCCTGGGAGAAAGATGAGGTTGTGTGCTCTCATAAATATTTGCTTTATAGAAAACCAATAGGATCTCTACGAGTCTGAATCAATTCTACTACAGTGGATGGATTTTAAGGGCGTTAAAGAGGAGTTCTGGTGTGGCACTGTGGGTTAATGTGCTGGATTGCAAAGTCGTTTGAACAACAAGGTCGGCGGTTCAAGCCCACCCACTCACTGCTCCATGGAAACCCTTTACAGGGTCAGAACCGAATCAGTGGCACTTAACAACAACAACAAAACCCATTAAAATAAAAAACATAAAGACCTCCTTTCTTGTCTACCACGCCAATATTATGTGGAAATGATGGGACTGCTTCTTTACTAAGGAAACTTGTTGCATTGAAGTCCATTCTGAAATTGAAATTCAGTATTGAAATACAGTGATTAATGAATTAGTCATTAGAAATCAAACTGTGTTTTGCGTCTGTCACCACCAAAAACTATTGAATTTTGAACCCCTAATAACTCTCTTCTAGCTGCTTTCGAAATCTATTGAACAACTGAAGCAACCAGGCAATCACCTGGAGGAGGCAGAGGAAGAGCTTCAAGGGGACCAGACGATGCAGGAAGACAGAGCGCCCTCTAGTGGCAACAGCTCTAGGAGCGACAGCATTGCTTGTGTGGATGACACACTGGGACAAGCTGGGGCTGTGAAGGTCAAGGAAGAACCAGTGGACAGTGATGAAGATGCTCAGATCCAGGAAATGGAATCTGGGGAGCAGGCTCCTTTTATGCAACAGGTAATAGGCAAAGATTTAGCTCCAGGATTTGTAATTAAAGTCATTATTTGAACATGAAATGAATTGCAGGTTTTAGTAAATGGATTTATTTCCTATCAGTTTATAGCTCTGACTGGTTTGATTTTAGTGTTTAAGAATTCCAAGACAAATAGATGTATATATCTATAAATAGATCTCTCTCTATAAAGATCTCTATATAGATATCAAAGTTTCAGCAAAACTCTGTGGATATTGTTGGGTGCAAACAAGTCAATTCTGACTCATAGCTACCCTATATGACAGAGTGGAACTGCCTCATAGGGTTTCATAGGCTGTAATCTTTCTGGGAGCAGAACACCAAGTCTTTTCTCCCATGAAGCCACTGGGTGGGGTCGAACTGCAGATCTTTTGGTTAGCAGCTGAGCGCTTAACCATTGCACCATAAGGGCTTCTTATTGAAACTCTACTGGTAAGGAAATACCTGTTACACTAAGGTTATGCTTCATAAATATCCAAGTAATTAATAGGCTTTATATTCATTCCAAAGCCTGCCACACCAATTACTACGAAGGAAAAACAAACTCATTGTTGTTTTAGTTTCTCTGTTGAGATCGCTGACTGCTGGTGCTGGATACAGCTCCCCAGTCTGATCAATGAAGCATTTATTCATTTTGATTTTTTTTTTTTTTTGGATATGTTAACTGTAATTTTCATATCACTGTACATAATGTATCATACTACAGTCTTGAACACTGTTAAAGGTAGTCTGCCCCTTATTTCCTCTCTATTTTTGTTAAGTAGAAATGTTCTGGTTGTCATGCCAGTAATCCTAGATTTGTGTGTAGACAGCAATTGAAACTATTGCGAATAAAGGTGGCTTCAACTATAGATGCAAATTGTAGCACTACTTTGAAGATGACATCAAGTTTCACATTGCACTGCTCATTTTACTTTAACCTTGTGTTATTGGATGACATTGTCCATCGAAAAAGATCAAATGAAGCAGATGCAGACTTTGGCAAGAAGTTATGTGCAGCACAGTGGTCCAATCAGATAGTATGTTTTATCTGCTCTTGCAGAAAACACAGTAACAGTATGATTATTCTCTGATATGAAATAAAAAATAATCACTTTTGAAAGAAGGTGTATCACATTTTATGATCATTACCGATAAGATCTCAAGGATAGTTTCACACCAACATGGCATATAACATACCGCTTTGGCAAATAAGAAAATAGGGAGTTAGTTTGGACAAAAGAATTTGCTTGTACATAATGCACCTTCATAAGGACCATGCCCTTTGATGCTATAAAGTCTAAACAACTTTGAAGGCAACCGAAGACAATGTTTATTTAAGTCAGTTCTTTGTCAGGTTCCTGCTGTTCTCCTACAGAAAAGTGATTCTTTGAGGCTGAACAGGAAATGCCTTGTGGAAACAGGAAGTCCAAGTGATTCATGTACTGAGGAATGTAGGAAAAAAAAAATCTGAGGATAGTGTTTTACTCTTTCTGTTTTTAAAGGGCACTCTATGAATTGATTTATTGTCTAAGAAAATAACACCACAAGTAGGGAAATTGTTAAGGAAGCTTTTCAGTGGAACATTTCCTTCATAGTCCCTTTTGATATGTTTACCTTGTTTTATAGGTTTACTTTTGTTAAGCTAGTTAAAGATTCATTGTATTAAGTCCCCTTTAATATGGATAATCCAAATTGACCTAGAATCTTTGTGAGTTTTTTCTATTAAAATATACATATATATATTTCTAAATCCGAGGTGTTTTAAGGTATAGTATCCTGTTTCAAAGGAGATATAGCGATTTTGCCAAATGTAGTCATTATTCAACTGTATGTTATTGGCACGTGTTGTTTACATTTTTCTGTGACATTTAAAAATATTTCGTAAACATGTGACTGCTAAAGATACATTATCCTTTTTTAAAAAGTCTCCATGAAAATTAAATTAGCATAACTAGAAATTATACATTTTAAAACTTTTCCATATAATGAAAGTCCTGATAATTTGACAACTATATATAATAGGCAACACTCCTTATCACCAATATATTTTGGTTCGTATATTCCTTCGTATTAAAATGACTTTTTGTCAGTTGTTTTCCATTAAAAATATGGCATACCTAAGATAAAATTTTATATTTTTCATCTCATATATATTCATTTTCCTTCAAAGTCTTATTTCAATTTCATAAAAAAAAAAAGGGATAGTGCATCTTTTAAAATACATTTTATTTGGGGAGGAACATGTGGCTGAGCAGACTTTTGTATAATATTACTTCAAATGTAATCACAAACAGAAAAAAACTATTTTTTATAATGTCACTTGAAAGAGCTTCATCAGTACAGTTGGTGGACTTCAGTTGTTTGAATTTGATAGTTTTTGAATTTAATCAAGAAACTACCTGCAACCAGTGAAAAGGAAAAGCTGGACTTAAATAATCTTAGCTCTAAATGATAAGTGTCTCTTCCTTGGAAAATCTACTGTATTTATTATAATTTACACCCTTAAAGGTGATCTCTTGTTTTGTGTTGTAAATATATTGTTTGTATGTGTCTCTTTTTGCCTTCTGTTATAAGTATCTTCCTTTCTCAAATAAAGTTTTTTTTAAAAGATCCCTTTTCATACATTTGGCTTTGTGTAAACTTGATCTATTTAATTGAAGTTGAAACTTGTCCATTAGCTCTCATACACCAAAATATATTGCCATTCATTGTTGCAACCAAAAAATAAAGGTATTTTAAGCAGTTACTTTTAATACCATTAATAATAATAAGTTCAACAATAATGACTTTAAATGATTCACATTAACCAGTGTCTAATAGCAAACACATGTAAAATTTGCTACATTTTCATTTTCCCAGTGTGGTCTTTTTTATGACCTGTTATCGCCTTTGATATTTAAATTAAAATATCAACTTCTAAATATAAGAATTTATATAAACAGATGCCAGTGATGAACTTTGTCTCCACTTTAAAATTATTGTTTAAAAAAGCTTATGATCCCTTGAATATAACAAGCATTCAAAACTATTAAAATGAATAATTCTCCATATATCATCTTAGTTATATCTGTTAGGCTGAGATCCTGACCTGTAAGCATAGTCACTACATAAACTTAAAGAGAAAAGAAAACGCATCTCCCTTTATATGGTAATGATTATTGTAATACCAAGGTGAAAAACACGAAAACACGATGCTCAACTCAGGGTAAAACGGACTGTACCATATGTATCACATGTTGTTGTTAAGTGCCATTGAGTCAGTTCTGATGAGTGGTTGTTGAGTTTGAACCATTGACCTTGCTGTTCAAACCGACCTTTTGGTTAAGTGCTTTTCCTATGGTGCCACACCAAGACTCCATATATTATGTGGATCATAACATTTTCTACTTTCCTTCTGATGTGTTGGTAGTAAAACTTATCAGTCAATGCTTCGTAGTATTGTTACTGTGTATTCAGTTTAATAGGTTAATAAACATAGTTACTTGATGCTATTTGATATCCCTCACCTAATTTTAATAGCTCCTTATATGTTAAACACCATTATTGTGTTAGAGTGTTTTGAGTTTTGCAGGTGTAATTATTGACTAATATTAAAATGATTATCATTTTATTATGCCAAAATGTCAACATTTGGCCACAATTTTGAAAGTACTTTTAATGCTACTCATAGCTTCCTGAAATTTTTCTTTGGGCAATAAAATTACAAGAACAGCTTTAAAAATAGCTTTGTCATTGTTGTTAAATACCATTGAGTCAGTTCTGACTCATCGAGACCCTGTATAGGGTTTCCAAGGAACAGCTGGTAGGTTTGAACTGTTGACTTGGGCTTAGCAGTCCAGTGCTTATCCTACAATGCTACACCAGGACTACTCAAAACAGCTAGGGAAAGCAATTATATAATGGTTTTATACCATCCACGTGACTTCCAAAAAGCAACATAAAATGACTTTTTTTTTTCCATTTTCAAAATGTGAACTTTATTCCAAATCAGGCAGCAATAACTTTCTAGATTGTGAGCTTTGACAAATTACTTGGTTTTGATCTCTTTTTTTTTAACTTTTTATTGTAAATTTTGTGGGTTTACATGAGAGAGCATCAGTTTTACATTCATCCTATCATATTTCATTTCATTGCAATGATTACAGTCCCTCCATGCATCATCATCAAGTAACCAAAGGATACACCCCACAGCATGCCCCCCCTCACCCCCACCCCCCGGCACACAGCCCCACTCCCTTCCTTAGTCCCAAGTCCCTAGTCACTCCATCTGTCCACGTCATCATCCCTTGTCTCTATCTCTGGCATCACTGCCTCTCAGGAGTGGGTCACTCTCTCTGCTCTTCTCACTTGATGATCCCAGGGACCTCCGATCCTGGGCTGCAAAATCAATCACTCCCCTCCTTTTGTCAAAAAACATCTACCTCTACATTTCCTAGCCTCAGATTCAGTCCTGATGGCAATTATTCACTATTGTACCACAAGAATCTTTTCCCCGTTTCCTTTTGCCAGCCTGGTCCCAACAGATTGGAAGTAATTTGGTGGAGTTTCTACCTACCCCTGCCCCATCCATAACTAGTCTCCCTATTGAAAGCTTGTAAGCCAGTCACTTCTTGCCTTCATAGTCCCCCCGCCCATTTTGAGTAGCCAATGTCTAAGTTGACCATACCTGTCAACCCTGTGTACCGAGAGGGAGGGAGTGATCTTTGCTGTAAAGATGTGTTTCTTTTTTGAGCATACATATAAGTAAAGTTCATCAGATTGTAGTGGGTTACTCTTTCTTTTTTTCTTCCCTTTTCTTTCTTCTTCTAGTTGAGTTCTGATCATCCAGCCATTGAAGCCAGGTCAAGTGGGTACTATCTGCAAGTGTGGGTATTCTTGTGCATCTCCCCTCACTTCATATCAGCTGGACGCTTCACTCACTACTCTAGTCCTCTGTGGCCATGTCACCGTCTCTGGGCCCAGGAGTCCTTGGGTCTTGCCATAACTGCTGGCCATCCAGGTC